AGCTCATGCAAACAGCTGATGCTCTCCTCATATCTCCCTGAAAAATAATCAGAAGCGGAAAGGATTAACTGGCCTGAGCAGAGTACGTTTAAGACCAGAATGACGCAGAACAGCTCATCTCTCAACTCTCTGGGAGTGGCTTACAAGGCTTCTCCACAGAAAAGCTTATCACAAGAGCACATTTAATAGAAACTTCATATCCCTTTCATCAGTGAATCAAAATAATTTTTCTTGCTACCCGCTGTGCTTCATTTGCCATGAAATCATGCAGTCTCGTGTGCTGATGTCCTTGCACTGATTATAATGAAGTTCTGATGAGAAGATCTAGATTTCATGAACAATAGCATGACTACTGAGAGAGCTACAACTTCCACTAGTGCTGCTGCTGTGATGTTTTTCAGCTGATACCCAGTGTGTTTGGCCGTCGGAAGTAAGAGAGACCCCACTATCACCCACGCTGTCATTCTTTGCTGCTTCTCCTTTGTAGTCAGTCGGTGTGGGGCTACATCCCAGGGCTGGCTTCTGAAGGTGATGCTCTGGTAACAGAAGAACCTATTTGTGTAACAATCCCTTAAAGCACACATTTCTCTCTGTCTCTTTTCAACTCTCTAGGATCCAATTGTAATACAGAAAATCAGCCAGTTCATCTGCAAAGCAAATGCTATTTCCTGACTGTTTAAACAGGTGCTTGCATACTGTTAGTGTGATGAGTAACCCATCTTTTTCCTGGCCGTCTTTTTCCTGGCCTTTCGGCCTACAAGCTACCTCAGATCATTAGCACTTCTTTAACTGAGGATAGCAAAAACTCAGGCTTGGGAGTTGCACATACTTACAGCAGTCCTTACAGCCGAAGGCACTAGGTAAGAAGGTGCTATCTAAAATGGTAATGGCCATTGACCTGTATTAGAGTTTGCTGGAGTGTGCCTAAGACATGTCATTGCCAAGATATGACTGATGGCTGACTGGAGAAAAAAAACCTGAAGACGACAACATTTCAGTGAAGCAGCTCAGTAAATACCATGGAAATACCTTGAGATGCAACAGTATAAAATCTTATTTTAATTTACTCCTTCAGATTTAGTTGAGAAAGTAGGTATGGTACTAAATATCAATCTAACACTACTCTAGACTAGAGTTTGCCCAACATGGAGTTAAATAAACCACTGCAATCCCTTCAACTTTTGCTAAAACTAGGTAACATTCCTGAGACAAAGGATCATTTCATTTTCTTCTCTTTGCAAATTCCCTTCTTTATATTTTGAAATAACTTTGTCTTTACTGCAGTCACGTCATGTCAAATCAAGTTCAGTCACGGTAGGATTGCTGGGGCCATGATGGTCTAAGAATATAAAAGAAGCGGGGGTTGTAGGGAGATAGAATATATTATATTAAACCAAATGATATAGCTGGAAAAAAAACAATGGTTCAGACTGACAAGTCCTCCTTCAGGTGAGATGTTTAATGAAGAAATGAAATATTTCAAAATACTGATCCAAATGGAGACATGAGAAACCATCTTTGCTTTGAAATTCATAAGTAGAAATTCAATGCATTTATGACAGTAAGTTCCTTCCCCAAAGCAGTAATCTGCTATGGTAGAATAATTCTTTTCTTCTTTTTCTGCAACAGCAAATTTGCAGGTGAGGTTCAGTGGCTTGATCCAAACCAGGCAGGAGTCAATGTCAATCCTAATTTTTCTCAGCAGAGGCCAGAAAGTGCTCAGTACAGTACAGAACACCAAGGAAGACATTCTCCCTTGGGAGAAAGCCCTTATAATTAGAAAAGAAACATGAACTGATGTATACGTGATCATGTGTGATGCATCTTGTTAATAAGTTTGTGCCCATTGACTAAATAGTTTAGCATCCAAATGAAGCAGTGTAATATGCGTACTCCCTGAGTTTCCACTACGCTCATATTTAAATCTCTCCTAAGCCCCCGCTTCCTAAGCTTGCACTATTGCCTGCATTCATATGTACGAGACAGCATGTTCCTGAGGGTGTGATCTGACTAATAACTTGGAGGAAGTGTCAGTTTGAACAACCCTCACCCCACAACCATCACCTCAGACTCTCCTCTCCTCCCTGGCATTTAAAATGCCCATTATCTATTTGCATGAAAAAGGTGAAATCCTGGCTCACTGAAGTCAATTAGCAAAGCTCCGACTGCTTCTGGAGACACAACTGTGACAGAAAGGATAGGAAATCTCACCCAGCAAGCCCAGCATACATTAAACGCATAAGTGATTAAACAACAAACAAACCAACTAACCAGGTCTGGCTAAGACTGGATCAAGAACCACATCCTACATATTCACTGAATAAATATATGGGCCAGTGGAGGGATTTTTAGTAACAATCCTTGTGCATCAAGGGCTAGTTTAATTTACATGTTAATTGGATGTACTTCCAAGAGGCAATGAAGAAGAACATGCTAATGAGTTTTATGCAAACACCTAAAGGTCAAACAGTTAATGGACTTGGGACAAGAAAACCTCTCATTAAATGCAAATCGGTGTTCTTGCAAACTCTGCAACAAGAAAAGGTACAGAAATCAAATAGAAGACAAAAAAAGAGGAGCTCAGGTTCAAAAGTCAAAGTCTACATCTGCTTGCAAGTTGAAAGACAACATACATTATGATGGGATGTTAATAAAAAAACCAACAACAAACAAAAAACTTCAACATCTGGTCCATGAATAACTTCATGGTTGCATGTTCATTTGCAAACAAGTGGAGAAACACATGGAGAAAATAGTCGGGAACAATTCACCAGGCACAGCCATCTGGACTAACAGTCTCACGGCACATCTAGAACAATTGGGAAGAACATTTTGGTTTCTTGATCAAATACTCCAGGCCAAAAAAAAAAAATTAAAAAAAAAAATATCAAAGGTTCTCCACTCCACCACTGTTTAGATATATAAACTATGGCTTTCAGTGCTACAAAAAATGTTATAAACAAATAAATGAAATATGCAAATTAGATAAATCAAACCTCTATTAGTAATAGCATGCCAGAGTAGATGTCCTATGATGTCTAGAGTAGATATGGCCAAAGATTCAATGTCAGCAAGTGCCTTTAGTATAAAAGTTAGTCAAACTTTAGTTAGTAAAAAGTTAGTATAAAGTTAGTAAAAATTTAGTATAGTGGTATTTACAATCAGTTTAATTCATATTTCAGGCACTGGGCATCATCTAACCTAGCTAAATTTTACTTTATTCTAAAAACCCCGGAATCCCAGTGGGAAGTGATAAACTAGAGAAACCTTTTCTTTAGTACCTTGAGGGGGGGAAAAAAAAAAAAAGTAAATATAATTCAGACAAAGCTGGAGCAGGAGAACTTAACTGAGGAGAAACAGTCCATGAGGTGGTGCAAAGGAGAGAAAACTGAGTGGACTGTGTGGCACCAATGCTGGCCATCACTGGTTTAGCCACATTACAGAGAACTGAGGAGGAAGGAGTAAGAACAGAAAGGAGCAGAGGAGAGGGGCAGGGGAGATGAACTGTTGGCTGTTTTATTCTGTTTGCCTTTTTTTTATCCCTGTTTACTCATTCCCAATTCAGCCAAAAGAAAACCTTTTAGTCTTACAAGATAAGAAGGGGAAAGGAAACAGAATGTGAATCTCTCTGTAAAACATGAAAGACAAAATTAGCTTACCAGCTTTTCAAAATTAACAAGGTTATCCAGAAAAGTTTTATTTCCTTCGTGGATGAATGTTACATCTGAAAAAAAAAAATAAAGAGAAAAGAATTATTTTTCATGGCTTTGTTTGTTGTTTAATATAAAAAAATAAAATTACTAAACAGCAACAAAAAGAAAAAAAAAAAAAGAGGAAAACATCCCATTAAGGACTGACACAATACCTTAGGACAAGGGAACAGAAGCCAGGTATAATGACATGCAGAGATTATCAGACAGCAACACTATGTATGTATCATAACAAGAGGATTTTCAAGAGCACAGATTTCTTATTAAACCTGGTCTGTTACTTCTGGGTTGTGTATGTATCATAGAGAGGATGGCTGGCAGCAGGCAGGGGCATCCAGAGGGATGGCCCTCCATGGCATTCCCTCTCTCCCCACTCTGCAGCATCGGCCACACTGCCCGTGGTTGTGCCCACGCTGGGGCTGGCTGGTCTGAGCCCAGGGCTCCGTGGGGACAGAACTACCAGGTGCTGGACACCCCATCATCTCTGTGGGACACAATGACTCTGAAGTCCACCCACTGCAGAGATGCAGGCTACAGCATTGGCCAGCCAGGGAGATTAAACTCAAACCACCAAAATGAAGTTCAGAGTCTTGAGATAAGCATCACGGTTAGGGAAAAACAACACTTTTACACAATGGTGTTGGAGGGAATTTGCAAAGGCAACAAAAAGGTCACCGAATGGAAAAGGAAAAGGTCTATATTTGGCTCCAGGAAGGGAACTGAACACAGTGTAATGAACTGGAGAAAGGGGAATATCAGGCAACACAAATGTTACTAAGTAAAGATTACAATTAAAACAGTAACTTGAGGTCATTTTCTCCATTTCTCTAACGCATATTAGGGCACAAAGCAAGACCTATCCTTGTCATGAAGAACCAAGGACATGGACTGATTTGCCATGGGGACTGAAGCTCTGCCTCTGATAGTGCAGCCTCCAGGTGACTGAAAATACTGTTACGAGCACCACCACCATGCACCAGCTCTCTCCTGGATGTACGGGTATCCAGGAGTAAGAGGAGGAGATGGCATTACTGTAATGAGACAGCACCCCAATACCACAACTACTTAAAAGTCACAGCTGTGTCTGCCAGCAGGCAAATGACACGCAGTAGACAGGCAACATATCCCCTTCAGCAGAGATGCCAACCTCCAACCCACCAGTTCAACTATGCATCTCAGCATTCCTCCTGTGCTCACCTCTAGGACTCCCTCTGATGCCCATTTGGTCCCTCTAGTTGCAGGGGATTTTAGGACTGAAAACCTGCAGATGACACTGAGGGCTGCATTGTCACACCCCCAAAACAGCCAACCTGATTTATTTCCTTTTGTTTCAAAAACTGTCTCTGTGAGTGCAGCCGGCACTCCTGAGCAAGTGGGGCAAGCATGGCATACACTGGGGATGCCTCCAGCACCATCTCTGCCTCTGGGCAGCATCCTAATAATCAGGGGGAAATGAAGGAACAGGACACATTACACCTCCTCTGCTGGGCTGCTTTGGTGTAGCTAGAGAAAGGACACAGTTTCAGGACACAGGCACTGCCTGTCCCTGCATCCATACAGTTAAAAACCATCTGTCACTTCTAATGAAAAACTTATACTGGAAGCAGAAATTTCCACAGCTTTTTAAGTCAATGACAGCAATGCGTGTATCTCTGAGGGTAGAAGGAACAGAAATTTGCTTCGCGGCCAACAACTAAGAGTCTAGATAAATTCAGCGGAGCAGAAAATTGCATCTGAGCTAGGTTGTAAGGGTACATCACAGTGTTATATTACACATTTGAAAAATCTGCCTGACTTTCAAAAGCTGTGTCTGTGTACTGTAAGAGCACTCTGCATTTAAATTTAATTAACTTTAAAAGGACACTTTAAAGTTATTTTTCATAACTAAAGTTATTAATGATTTTCATTTTTTTCTGGAAACTACTTTTGTTCCTCTTGGGTTGAAATACAGCAGTTTGTTGAGTTATTAATGATCTCTATGCTACCCATCCTTATTTTATTGGTCTTGGAAATAACGTTAATACAAACATGCCTGACGTGGAACAAAGTCCTACGTACTATGCAATACTTTAGGAATTGCCAACTTTGGCAACATCTCCCTGTGGATCACTGCACTGAGGAAAATTATCGTATTATTTTGGCAAAGCCTCCTTGCTATCTCAAATACATTTTAGAGACATGAATGCTGTTTATGTGCGTGTTCTTACACATCATATTGCTGTGCTATGCAAAAATCATCGCTACAAGTTACTGTTTTGTTGCCATCTCTGTTTGCAGATACTTGAGAACACTTAAAAATTATTGATTTTGAAGCCTTGATAATTGTATCCATCTGAATTAATGCAAACTCCTTTGATCTGTGCAAAGAGGGGAAGGAAGTGCCTGACGGCTCCCGAACTGTCACTGACAGATCTGGAGAATTCTCTTCAAACATTTTAAACTCACGGCAGCAGCAGGCTGGCATAAACAGCCTAAAGAGAACACTTTCGGAATACAGGAACAAGCAAATGAATTCACCATGTTCAAAGACAAGGCAATTAATAATTAATGATTCCAAGACAACAGAATATCTCAAATACCTGCCACTTAATTAGCTGCCCAGCTCACTGCATTAAGCAAGTAGTTTTATTTTATTTTACAATACTTTTTTTTTTAATAATAAGAGTTTTTTAACCTCTTTCAGTCACTCAAGAGACTTCACAATCCTTTCCCCTCAGGACAGGCAGACAGGGCAGGTTCTGCCTTCAGGGTGACACCAAGTAGCATAAGAAGTGCACCCAGCGCAGCTGGGCTTGCAAGGTCTCGCTTCTCCACCAAGGAGGATGTGGCCAGAGCAACACCACACGGCTCTATCCACACCTGATGGGACAGTACTGAAGTTTGAAAACCTGTGTGAAAATTGCCATCTTCCACCTGTCTTAAAAGGCAGCCGTTTATTATCCAGACCAAGTGCTACCTTGTAGCTACCACTATATCTGCCACATACTTATCATAAGACCACCTGAAGGAAAAAGCACCTTACACTTATTTTAATTAACCACAAGGAAGAAGAGTAGCCAAGCTTTAACATTACCTTTCAGAAGTAAGGGCATGAAGGGGATTTTTGGAGATTTCATTTTCTTGAATGCATCTCTGTAAGCTTTGTGATTCAGAGAAGGGTCCTACAAAACCATTTGGGTAATAGAGAGAAAAATCAATAGGCTATAAAAAGAGCAATTCTAAATCCATTACAGACTTATGATCTGAACATGATTTAGATACAAAAGGTTTCTTCAGGGAAGGAGGTAGATAAAGGTTTTCTAAGCTAGTGACTTACTAAACTGAACAGGAAACATAAACAGTGAAAGGAACAAAAACAATTAGGTTCCTCCAGATGAAGCAGTGCTAAAATGGAAGTAAGCTGCAGAACAGATTCACTGGGACTGCTCTGTAATTTCCCCACAAATTTCTATTAGCAAAATCTCTTTAGCTTACTATCTAGCACAAAACATATCCCAGAATGTACTGATTACTAATTTATTCTTAAAAAAAACCCAAACACACATCAAACAGCAACAACAAAAAATCCCAACAAAAACTGCTTTCAGATCAATGGAGCATATTAGAGATCTTAAAAGAAAATAAGAGAGCATGTTTCAGTGGCGATGTGCAAGTAATTAAAGAAGTCAACTTCCCATATAATCGAACATTTTCGTACAGCAGCTCACGCACAATCTTGAAAACACATTAATTTATAAAGGACTCTAAGTACAGAAGCGCAACAGCCATTAAAGGCTGGATCTCATGTTCCCCGTGCCAGGCAGTGATCTCACCACGCACCCACAGCCAGAGGAAACACTTGTTTATTCAACTTTGATAATGGTGACAAAGACCCTTAGCCTCAGATTTTGATTTTTTTTTTTCCAAACTCCAGCTGTCCTCCTGATCTGCAGCACGTTGCATCAGATAAAGGCTGATTAACCACCACAGCAAAAGAACAGCTTCCAAATTGATGCTGGGGAACTGACACTACATTCATCTCTCTCTGCCCTTCCTCCAGCTGTCAGGAATACAGGCTTCTTCCTTTTTGTGTTTGGAGACCACCTTTGAGCTTGTAGGGAGGGAGCTGCATGGCCTTCGGCAAATCATGGATCTGACATGACAAGTCCCAGCTCCAGACAATGACAGGCAGCCTCCAGATAAATTAGGAAGAAGGAAGGCAGGTGAAGACAAGCAATGCCATTCTGCTGTCAGCACCAGACTTACCGTCAAACTTTCAAGTTCAGTGAAAAGCTTCTTGAACTTCCCAGGAATTTTCTGAAGCGGAGAAAACAGAGAAAAAGAAAGGAAAACTGATAAGGCAAAGAAGTGCTGAGGCATTTTTTTTCCACAAGGCTGCCATGTGTGAAGCCCCTGCTGCAGCTACCAACAGGCAGTTAACCTCTACTCCTAGAGCCCTAATTACAGACTGTGTTCAGTGCAATGCCAGACCCTGCAGACTCACCTCTGGGCCCTGCATCCTTCCTTTATGGAAACTGCTTGTTAGCAGTTGGTTTTAATTTCTTCCCTAGCTTCCATGTCTGCTGCATTTACCTTAATATCTCTATCAATTTAGAAACAGTAACACAGGCTGAGAATTCAGATGCTGTGGTTGCATTCAGGTTAAATCATTTGTTGTAATCTGTCTTTCCTTAAATGATTACTCCATTACTGATATTTCATCCTAATCCCACTGGGAGGTACACAAAACCCCTCTCAAGGGAGCCCAGGCACAAACTACCTTCTTGCCACTCTGCTCCACAAGCATCTGCTTCCTTTTATCTTTAAGATGCTTTAATGGATTCACCTCATTATACTCAAAGCAGTTGTTCTCCAGTATAAATTTTGTTCCTGGTATTTCAGACTTGAAGAATGGTGTGTGGACCTCAAAGCCTGTCTTATTTTCCTCTGACCATACAAGTTAGTCTAGTAAAACCTATTCCTACTTAGTACAAATCCTGTCTTGCCTTTGTCCTTAGACTCTGGCAGCCACAATGACACTACCAAGAGAAAAGATTTAGAAAAATTAAGTTTAAGTGGATGTGCTGTATGATGAAAATGCTAAAATAACTGAACATGGAATTGCAACTGCAAAATTTTAGTATCTTCAATCAGAGAAAGTTAGGCTCATTAAAACACTGCATACTGTAGAAAAAAAGTAGAAGAATATGCTTGGGACCATACTACTTGTTTAAGAATTCAAGTGCAGAGCCAATATAATTTAGAGTCTAAATGGTTGCTTAAATTTAGGTGGCTTCATTTACATGTGTAAGTAATTATAATTAATTTATAAACATTGCTCTACTTTCTAAAAGTCACATTACTAATGCAAATAACCTTCTGCTTTTGAAATTTCCAGTGAAGTTTCACAAATAAAAAAAATGCACACGACTTCATAAATATTTCACACACAGAAACCTGACATATTTACAGTGATACATATGCAGATGCACTCCTTGTTCCAAGAAACAATATATTCTGCTCTCCCTGGGAGAAGTCCACCAGCAGCACGTGATTTCCAGAGGTCTCATCACTCAGCTGAGCTCTGCGTGTTTCTGCACAGGAGAGATCTACACTATTGCCACCAGGTGTCTTTAATGCAATATTTAAGCCTTTCCACTCTGATACCAAAGCCCAGAGAAATGGGAGGAAGCCAACCCATAAAAGCTGGCAAGTGCAAATGCTCCCTAATGGGCAAGGCAGTTTAAAAGCAGGAAAGGCAGTTTAAAAGTAGGAAAGAGAGAGAGTTTCTGTATTGTCATCCTCAGGTATGTATTTTTCTCTAAAATTTTTGCTGTACCTGTTATTTAAAGATAGCTCCTTCTTGCCTACCCAAGTTCCTATAAACTCCCCACAGAAACAGTCACTGCCCTTGTTTCCCTTCGTGCTGAAGCCACTGACAGAGGCAGAGATCTTTTCGTATGCATGATTTCAGCTCAGAGGGAATACTTTGCTCTGGGCAGTGTCAGATAGGTTTGTAAGTCTCTGATGGCCATTTGGTTTCAGCTGTCGGTGCTCAAGAGGTGCTCCACGGCAAGAGATCACAGCCATTCTCTGTCACTTGGTATTACAGATTGACCTTTTTTGACTACTGACCACCTGTGGTGTTGAGGCATAGGGGAGGTATGATGCTTCACCTCATAACACTAAACTACTCCTTCAATTTTTGATTCATTAGCAGATACAGTAAGCTTGCAGATACTACCACTCAATAATTTACTTAGATGGAAAAAAAAAATTCCATATAAACACAGATCCCAGCGGGACCCTCCTCTAAACATCCCAGTAACCAGTAGCTTCTCCAGCAGATAATTTCTGTTCTCGTGTGCTCCTTATTCGTGGCCATTTTCTAACTTTCTTGTTCAAGATGAGCAACTGCAAAAGAGCTGATCAAGGACAATTAAAGAGGGTTTATTTCTACTTTGTGTTTTTCTGAATGAAATTATTTCATAATAAGGGATTCCCTGTTTGGAGTCACCCTTATAAGATTGCCTGTTCTGACATCTACTTAAAATACTAAGATAATTTTAAGAAGGTAAGATCCCCTTTGTTCTTATCGAAAAACTCCAGGACACATTTAGTTTTACCTGAATAGCTGTGTATCTAACACTTCAGGTGACAAAGAAGCTTCTTTACCTACACTTGCTCCCTGTTTGATTTCAGCACAAAAATCCAATAAAGGAAAGGTAATTCACCAGTATACACCCTTTGTGAGAAATGGTTTTGACAGACTCTAAAAGATGTAAAGATGCGTCTTACCTCCCAGGTCTGAGACAGCCGACTGACAGATGCAGTGTTGAGACCCATAACAATAGCAAAGAATGAATTCAGATTTCTTTGGGCTTTACAGCTGTGGAATAAAAATATGAACACTTTATTCTGATTTTTTGTACTCAGAATCAGAGATAAATGGAATGCACAGGTATCCTAGGTTACTGAGTCCCATTTCAACCCTCAGCACTAACATACAATCATCTTCCACATAATGAACTCATTAAATGTCCTCTCATGACCACCTGCAGTCTAGGTGATGGGGTCTCTAAGAAGTTTTTTAGCAAATGTTCCACTGTCTCATCAACTCTGTTGTTGGCAGGTTATTTTTTTTTCCTCTGCTGTCAAAAGTAATTTTCCCTTCTCAATCTCCAAGTTACTCTCAGCTGTCCTTTATCATTCAGAATAATTCCTTGACCTCTATTCTGTTGTATTATATTTTCATCCCCTTTTTCATCTTTTCTGTAAATTGCACATCACTGGTTCCTTCAATTTCTCTTTGTGGTCATGGCCTGCAATCTACTTTTCCATATTGTTATTATCCTTCATTGAATTCTTTGTAATTTATTTTAACGTTTCTCTCCTGCATTTCCTTCTTACCAAGGAGATGCAGTAAGACAGTGGGGAGGGAAGGAGAAACATAATTACTGATTTGGCTCCAAGTTCTTACACCTTTCTCCTATACAAGCATAAAACAAATATCAAATTATTTACTTGGAACAGCATCACGCTTTGTCCTTGCCTTTAATTTGTCATCTATTATCACCCAAGGACCTTTGTCACAGTTCTGTTCTTTACAGTCATGCATTTATTTCTTCAGCTCAGTATTAGCATTCCCTAGCTGAATTACTTTGCATCTATCTAAATTAAATCTTATCCTACTGTTGTTTGCACATGCCACCAGACTCCTTAGATCATTCTTTTTTTTCTATCCTCCAATGCATTTGCAATCCCTCATCATTTTTATTGTCTGAAAATCTGATTAATGTTCAGTTTACATATCCCTATAAATTAGTTGCAGTTAGCACTGGTTCCAATACCAGTTCCCTTTGGAATTTGCTTGCTACCTCTATTCTTTGACACTTTACTATATATGACCAGACTCTGCTTATTTCTAGACCATTAGGAAATCTGATATACTGAAAGATTGAGTCCTTTTCAGACAACGCAAGGACATTGAATATAAAAA